CTCTCTCAGCCTGTCCTCATAGCAGAGGTGCTCCAGCCCTTTGATCATCTTTGTGGCCTCCTCTGCACCTGCTCCAACAGGTCCATGTCCTTCTTACATTGAAGGCCCCAGAGCTGGATGTATTACTCTAGGTGAAGTCTCACCAGACAAGAGTAGAGAGGCAGAATCTCCTCCCTTGACCTGCTGGCCACGCTTCTTTTGATACAGCCCAGGATGCGGTTGGCTTTCTGGGCTGTGAGAGCATATCACCAGCTCATACTGAGCTTCTCATCAACCAATGCCCCCAAGTCCCTCTCCTCAGGGCTGCTCTCAATCCATTCTCTGCCCAGCCTGGATTTGTGCTTGGGATTGTGGCAATCTCTGTGCAGGACCTTGCACTTGGCCTTATTGAACTTCATGAGGTTTACACAGGCCCACCTCTCAAACCTGTCAATGTCTGTCTGGATGGCATCCCTTCCCTCCAGCATGTCAGCCACTCCACACAGCTGCGTGTCATCAGCAAACTTGCTGAGGTTGCACTCAATCCCACTGTCCATGTCACCGACCAAGATACTGAACAAGACCGGTCCCAATACCGACCGCTGAGGAATGCCACTTGTCACTGCTTGCCACTTGGACATCAAGCTATTGACTGCAACAATTTGAGTGCAACCATCCAGCCAATTCCTTATCCACCAAGTGATCCATTGGTCAAATCCATGTCTCTCCAATTTAGAGACCTGGATATTGTGTGGGGCAGTGTCAAATGCCTTGCACAAGTCCAGGTAGATCATGTCAGTTGCTCTTTCCTTATACAACAATGCTGTAACCCCATCATAGAAGGCCACCAAATTTTTCAGGCATGATTTGCCCTTAGTGAAGCCATGTTGGCTGGCACCAATCATATCCTTATTTTCCATGTGCTTTATCAGAGTTTCCAGGAGGATCTGCTCCATGATCTTGCTGGGCACAGAGGTGGGACTGACTGGCCTGTAGTTCCTTGGGTCTTCCTTTTTTCCCTTTTTAAAAATGGGGCTTATATTTCCCCTTTTCCAGTCAGTGGGAACTTCACTGGACTGCCACGACTTCTCAAATGTGATGGATAGTGGACTGGTAGCTTCATCTGCCAGTTCCCTCAGGACCCATGGATGAATCTCATCAGATCCCATGGACCTGTGCGCCTTCAGTTTCCTCAGATGGTCTTTAACCTGATCTTGTCCTACAGTGGGCGGTACCTCATTCTCCCAGTCCCAGTCTCCTTCTGTGACTTGGGCGGTGTGGTTAGAGCACTTGCCAGCGAAGACTGAGACAAAAAAGTTGTTGTGTACCTCAGCCTTGTCCATGTCCCGGGTGACCAGGTCTCCTGTTTCCCACACGGAAAGAAAGAATGGTTTTGTGATTGAGATACAGTTATCAAGGCTGAGTTCTGTTCTCATGCGGGTGATGTTCTTGCTTTCAGTGGCCAAAAGAAGAAACAACAGGAATTCTTGTTATCTTGTTAACAATGTCAAAGAAAAATGAATGAGCTTTGAACGCTTGACGAGATAAATGTGTATAAGCCTCTGCAGAAATTTAAAGCAGCAATAATTCTGGAGTCATCCTTCTCTCAGATTCTCCAATGGCTTCTCTCCCTGCTTGTTCCCATTCCTACGCTATACCCTTGCATTGCCTGAGATACACAGATGCACTCGAATCGCCTGAATTAGCAACACACTGTGTTCCCTCTGCAGCTGCTGCTTCTCTTGCAACGGTGTTTGGGAAGCTCTCAAAAGAGTTAACTTTTTGTTTCTACTACCTGTTCACTATCATTTGTAAAGATTTGATGGTGAAGTGGTGCTGTCACTTGAGCAGCATAGCTTTGCTTTCTCATTAGATTATTGATGGTTTTCTGGGGAATTGAGGCATAAACACAGCATCATGGATGAGCTTTTATTGTTGTCACAGAACCTGCCCTGAAGTAAAATCATCTACTTCCCAGCTGGCTTTCAGCTCCACTTGCTTATAATTTTTCACCTGCTATTAAAACTTTGAGATATATTCCTGTTTCACTCAATCATATCTTCTTTTTATTTTTTTTTTTTCTGTTGCGGCTTGTGGTTTAGCATTTTTGGTGATGGAAGAACAGCAAAAACAATATGCATTTTTTTAACTTGGCCAGAATTAAGAGTTCAGGAAAACTGTGTTTCTCTGGCCACCAAAGTGTCCTGTGCCCTTGCCTCTAGAGTCAGCTGTATGTTGCTTTCAAGTGTGTCATTTTGAAGTGTTGGATACTTAATTCTTTACTGTTTGTGTCAGAATGAGAACTACATTTCAGAATATGCTCCATGTGAATTTGGAAACAATGCATTGTAGTTATGGCAGACTGTTTTATGGGGAACACTAGAGCTTGATTTCACTCCATCTATGTGCAACACTGCATAAAGGGAAAGGGGCAGCAGTGTGAAGTGATCAAACAACAGGAGCAGATCCAATGAAGTTTTTAACTCACGGAATTATATTGCTTTTTATCCGCTTAATCCACAAGAATCGTTCTCATTGTGTATTTCCAACTATTTAACTGAATGAAGCCAAAAAGGATCCCAAATTTCCCTGTGCTCATAGGAATGTTATTTCCAGGGGGATTCAAGACATTCTACCTATGTTTGTTTGATTGGGGGATTTTTATGTGTTGATGAAACTTTTATTTTCTAACTTTATTCTCCATTCTTAGGCTTGTGTGTTCTTGCATCAGTAGAGTCTTTGGTGACACAAAGACTTTGGATAGGAGCAGGCTTTGGCTATTTGATAGCATTATCTGGAGTCAGTACTGTCTAGGTGCCATACATCTTTTAGGCTGTTTTTCTGACCTTCCACTTCTGAGTGTTTTTTATTTTCCATTTCTGCTGGAATTTTATAGTTAATGCAATCTGAACTTGCAGTCCCACACGACTGAAACAAAGAAAGTTTCATGAACTGCTGAAAGGCAGAAATGGTACCTTGCTGCCTGTATGCGTACCCGTTGAGTAAAATCTGTTTGTTGCTTTTGTTTATAATTAAGTTTCTTCCATATATACACACTATAAGCAGTAATAGTTATGTGCATTTGACATTACTTCTACTGGATTTTTCAAACCTATAACACTGCACGGCAGCCAATATTATGGTTCTCGTGAATTCATTTATGCTTTCGTATGTGAACAGAGTAGAGGTTTTGACAGGCTCAAGGACTGAAATCTGAGCTCAGATTAAGGTGTTTTTTTCTTACTCTGCTTTTGAAACAGTTCTGATACAAGAGATGTTCTAACATAGTTTCAGTTAGCACCTTTCATTTGCAGGAGACTAGTTTGACGAGTACGGGTAGCAACACAATGTCTTTACTTTCCCATGACTCTTATTTTCCCCGGCCCTTTGTCTGCAAAGCTAAGCAAGACCCTGGTTTAGAAACCCTCTTCAAGTCCTGTATGTTCAGATTTGCCTTGTACCTCCTGAAGACCTGAACTGCAAATGAAAAGACCCCAACTTCCGTGAAGCTCCAGGAGAAGGTGTGTTTATGTGAGTGTGAAACTCTGTTGTGTTGGAAGAGAGCGGTGTTACGCACAGCTGGAGCGTGGGTCCCAGCTTGGAGGATTGGGAGGCACTCTGAGAGACCCAACAGTGACTCAGCTCAGCCAAACTCCAGAAGCTTAACGCAGCAGAGAGGCTGGCTCTGCGGGGTTCCAGCTTGCAGAGCACGGGGGAGTTGTTGTCCACACGCAGTCACAAGTGCTTTTTCCCGCGCGTGGATCATTCACAGACGTTCTGAATGCAGTGAAGCTGACTGTAACTTGCATGATCGATACCAACGTGTTCTATCCTCATTTGAGTTCTCTATTAGATGCTTCTCTTTCTCCTCACATTTCAGGTTTTCCTCTTTGCACCGTATGTCTTGCATCCACCTCTTTGGCCTCACTGCATTTCATTCTCCAACTCCTCCTCTTCACACTTTTCATTCTGCCTTTCTAAAAGAACCTTTTTTGGTGCAGCGATCATCCCTCTTCCCTGCATCTCTTAAAATCATATTGTGGCCTGCCCTGAATGGTTTAAAAGGTTAGATCTGTTCCATCAGCACGTCTGACAAACTAATGGGTTTGTGGTTTTCTAATGCTTGAATTTAATGAAGCTTCAAGTGGGACTAAAGGACAATTTATTTTTGCATGTTTTCCATATCTATGTCTCCTTCCTAGACCTAGAAAAATCATCCCTTCTCACTTCTTTCCTTGCCTTAATTTAGTAAAATCCTGTGGAGTGCAAAAGGGTCCTGGATCTTTGCCTTTTCTCTGTTCCACTAAGTCTTCTCCTAGCTCATCTCACGGATGGAAAATCCATGAGAAATAAGCAGGTGGAAACTGAGATCAGGGAGGTTCACGGCCTCCTTGAGTGATCATTTCAGTACCACAGAGGTTTTGGTCATTTTCCTTTCCTTGAGCATGGGTAATTAGCTGGTTTTGCACATTTTCTATCTGTCTAAAGCTAAGCCATGGGAGCAGAAGAGGAAGCTTATGTAGTCCATTTGACAGATGCTTGTGGTCATGCTGGACTCAAAAAATCCTGTAGCACAATATACCTCTAGTTAAATCAGAGATGGAAACAGTGAGGTGTTACCTCCCAAACCAGGGGGACATTTACAAAAGTAGCCATCCACACTGTCCACGCACGTTCCGCTGCCGCAGGGGTTTGATTTGCAGTTGTTAATATCTTCCTGGCAAAATTCTCCATCAAATCCGTTTGGACATAAGCACAGGTATTCACCAAGGCCTGGAGGGAATTTAATATTGGTAACACATGTTCCACCATTGAGGCAGCTGCAGGGCTTCACTCCAACCTGAGGAAAGCAATAGGGAGGTGTGGTAAGATTCCTCCAATTAATCACAGCTGAAAGGTATATTGTTACCCTTCAGGAAGGGACAGATTTGCAGTGCAAACATTTTATCTAGTATTATGAAAACTTATTTCTAACCAATTTCCTTTGTCTAGATAGATGGTCTTATACTCAGCATACTTCTTTATTTGACTGAAAGCTTGACTTTAAAGGCTTTTTTTTATTATTTCATCATTTAGGGGCATGGTCTAACTTCTTATAAGCAAAAAAATCCTATTTGCTATAACAGCAGTTTTTACATAGCATCTGAGGGCAGAATTTGTTCCTTATTCTTCAAAGAAGAAATGACAGATCTTTTCTCTTTGCCTGCCTGCCCTCCTTACTGCTCCGCATTACAAATGGCTCCCAGGCAGGAACATGATTGTGGAATTCCTTAGCTATTCTTCAGGGAAAAGAGGTCCATAGCTTTATTTTGTGTATGCACAAGAACAGCATTTCAACAGATTCAAACCTCTGCATTATCTCTCCTAGTTAAACACAGGCCTAGTTTGAAATGTTTCCATTTAAAACCATTATCTAGACTTCAGTTTCCCCTTTGCTACGTGAGCTCAGCAGGTTGGTATTTTTGATGGTAGTGGTTTGAGTGAGTAAAAATTGAAATCTTTAGGAAAAAAACCTTTTCTTCACAAAACTGTTCTTATGTCAAGAGTCTGCATCCCACTTTATTAGCTCGTCCTATCACTGGATTAACGTTAAGCTATACAATAAAGACAAAGCAATGCACAAGCTCTGCCAAGAAACTTAAAGCATGGAGTAACGACATAAGAGCAAGACACGCTCTAAAAATATCGAGAATGAGTTATAATCTCCCTTTTATAGCTAAAACTTGTTCTATTATGTTATATGCTTTTTTCTGCAATCCAAATGCAGAATGTGAATTTTAAAGCAGATTAATGAACCATTAAAAGGCTCTGCAAGAGTGTTCTTTCAAACAGCAATCAATAGCACTCTTTCTTGTTCCTTGTATATATAGTATCTATGTTCTCAGAGATATTTATTCCATTAATTGATCATTATTGCTGTGCTGGATAATATACAGTTATGAGGAAATAGCTGAAGTCTTAGTTTTCAGAACAGTAACAAATTATTAGCTATAATGACAATTGCACCAAAGCACTGGCATGATAAACAGGTTTGTTTTGTTTTTCCTTTAAAGCGTTCATTTCCTTACCTCAATAGAATATCTTCTCTGTGCATTGCATTCATCCGACACGGTGAATTCAAAGGTCTGTGTTTCTTCTGAATCAACTTTCCAGATGAGAAGGCCGGCGGGAGAGAGCCTGGCATCCTGTGGCCCAGCCTCTAAGATGAATAGCACCGCTGACCCTTCCGGATCCGCTGCTATTAACTGGTAAACAAAATTCTCACCAATAAATGTCAGCAGCTGGCTGGAGGGGGCCTGGAACACAGGAGGCAGGTTGTCTAAACAGCAAAAATGAAACCACAATTACATAAATTCCGGTTTCTCCCATGTAAAGATTCACAGCGCGGGTCTTTGTTGGAGTTCTCTCAAAGCTAAAGGTACAGAACGTGCCCTGAGACTGACAGAGGGAGCAATTTAGATGTTAAAGGCAGCAAACAGCTTTACCAAAAAAGTGTACCTTTTTCCTCCTATTTTTTTCATGCCCCGTACTGAACTTTTCTCCCATACTGAACTTTGATTAGTTTTGATCTGTCATTTGATACGTGGGAGGAGATCAGACATGACATATAACCTCCCAGTAGTACCCTGACTCTTACTAAAACTTTAATTAACTGTATGTCAAATGCTTACATATATATATTTATTCTATCTATGACTTTATCTATCTATCTATCTGTCCATTTAAATATAAGCAAACTAAATTTCAAAATGATGAATGAGAAATGCATCGGGTGGGCAACTCGGGGAAAAAAAATAATTGTGTAACTCTTCCATTGAGTGGACTCTCCTGCCTTTACACGTGAGTAGTAATTAAGCCCGAGCAGTTTGACTGAATTCAGCTGGACATTCCATCAGGAGTAAAGGTCTTCTCAGTGCCAGCAGAGGTATCTCAGTGATGCTGAGATCCGCTGTCCCCAGTGACATGCATATCATGTCACCATTGGAATTGTTATTTCTAGTGTTGTTGCTTACATTTAGTATTTCTTTAATGAAAATAAAGGCCTAACTGTACAAGGTGGTTTTACAGTAGAAGACAAATGTTACCTGAAGATACTTACAATATAAATAGGTAAGGTGGAGAAGGTAGAGAAAAGTATTATATTTTATAATTGGAAACCAAGGAAATGTAAGATTGTGTGAGTACCCCAAGGTGACAGCAGCTCTCTGCAGGGTTGGGAATTTCGTCTCCATGTCCTAAACCCCCTCAGTCTCAAGCCACCCTTAACCAGCAGTACAAATTGACATATATTGATATTTAAAGGAATCTTCTCACAATGTAATTTGACCATAGCTGTGTTTAACTTAAAGAACATACCGAGGATTAATTTCAAGTCACAGTCTAAAACTATGAACTGTACATGTGTTCTCATAAGGACTGCATGTGCCCTTGCATTATGCTTGTGGGAAGTCATCATAAGGTGTTTTTTGTGGTGCATACCCTTTATCAAGCTTTGCTTTCTGTAGCATGTCTTGCATTATGCAATTATTTAAATGTGTCTCTCCACTCATTGCTGCTGTGCTATCAGAGCTTTCTAAACTGCTTGTCCAGCAGATTGTCCTGGCATAACTGTTGAAAGCTTCCATCTATTAATTTACCTTTTATTTCCCAAACACTTAAACCATGGAGCCCACAAAAATTGCGCCGAAAGTAATCAATGAAATATTGATACTGGGTATGCATTTACACATAAACACAAAGGTGTTAACCAGATAGAGGGTAATGGGAAATTGTAGGCACAAAATAACATAAAATCAGATGTTCCAAAAGTAGTCTGTGAATGAGTGTTTCTAATTCCAGAGATCTCCTTGCCATCCAGTGAATATATATGCTCCCAATTATTGAAGAACTTTTAAAACAGCTTTTGCAATTTTGAAAACAAGTCTGACGAACCCTTTCTTTCTAATATTTTTGAATTTTGAAATCATTGAAAAGTGAACCATGATCTGTTTCGGATTTCCCAAATCGCTTCTAGCTTTATGAATTCCAAAAGAAATGCAGTTTTTCCCTTTTAAGCCATTTTCTGAATTTTAAAATTAAACTGTCTCGGTGTTAGTAATGAGTCTGTCTATGTAACAATCAGGATCAGCTCTTCCCTAGAGATGCTACTGCTGTGCCTGATACAATGGAGGGACAGAAAGAAAGAAAGGTTTGTGAGTCACACATAATATCTCTCAGCAGTCTAAACTATATCCTTGGGGGACAAACCACATGCTTGCAGGTGTACAAGCTCTTCTTCAGGTCTGGCTTACCTGTAGGCATTTTAACTACTCGTACAAGAAACATCCTATGGGATTGTTAGTTGGCTGACACTTGGGATGGATCTGCCTACACTTTTTCCTGACAGGCAGTTTTAAATTCCAAAAGCTGGGGTTTTTTTAGGACATAAACTAGAGGTGTATATTTTTAAATAGAGAAAATTCAAAGTGGAGAGCCTGGAACAGGAATTAAAAGGACTCACGAACAACTCGCTCCCTTCTTATTGTGTTCTTACTGCCAAAATTGATTTCAGACAACTTATGGCTTCTTGCATTGCTGGAAACTGTTGGGTCCTTTTTGGTCCTTCTCAACAGCATTTCTATCACCTCTGAGGAGAGCGTGTCTGCTCACTTCTCTCTTTGGCAGTGTTCCTGCTGGAGCTATGGTCTCCAGCCATTGTGTTACAGCTCTCGCTGTTTCTGCTGCCGTACCTTGTGCTCTCTAGGAGTCTCTGTCCCTGAACATCCCCAGCTCTCCCCCAAGGACAAGAGCAATCTTCCTCTCCTTCCAGAAGGGTCCTGCTGACCTAGTCACCCTAAAGGAATATAAAACTGCAAACAAACAAAGGAAACCGGTCCTGTCACTCGCATACCTCTCTGTAATTTGCTTGTGTTTACAGAACCTAAAAGCGCAGAGAAACCCTTTCTAGAACCAACACATGAATCTACATAAAAGCAGTAATATAATCTTTATATTGACCAGGTGCAAATGGGCTCATTGAAGCAGGGAGATGCGCTGTGAGGATAATGCTGCTAGAAACGTGGATTATCTGTAAAGCGTGTGATAAGTAATGGTGGTTGTTTGCACTGGGGATGGAGCCATGAAAAAGCTATGATTAAGTCCTCAGTATTCAGGAGGTGGTTCAAAAGGCAGCCTTCTCCATGACCCCTGCCACGAGGGGCTGCAGAATGAGCCTTTAGATTCTGTGGCAGTGAAGGTAATGAGTAGCTGATCCCCATCACTTAGACCCCCTGCCAAGCCAAGGTCTTTCGTGTGGCATTTCATAGGATTTGGCTGAGGGAAAGAAAACAATTCTTCCAGATATCAAAAATATACATTAGTGTTTTAAAAGCAGTGCTTTCCCCAAATTGTTCCCTTAAAAATTCGTACCTGCAAGAGGGTGACAGATGTATTTAGGGTCCATCACCTTCAGCTGACAGACTTGGGCACTGCATGGGGCACTGGCATAGCGACGATTTAATTTTCAGATGTTATTTTGGTTTTATTAATTTGAGATTTGTCAGGTTTCAGCCAGAACAAGATACGTGCCCAGAGGCACAGCGCATGCAGTGGAGTACTCTCTGCTTCTGGTCACTCTGCATTTCTGGTGCACCCAATTATTCCCATTGCAAACAGACCACACACACTATTGTGCAGGATAGATTCATGTCAGCCAAATGAAGGAACCATGTATTTCTTAGACCGAGTCATAATCTCCCAGATAAGTGCTTCTAAATCTTAGAAAAAAACTGTCTTACTTTCATTAATAGACCAGGTGAACTTAGAAACGTCAGGTTCACAGAGAAGACAAGGACTGGTAGGGCTTGACTCTCCTTCACCGTAGCAAAGTCCATCTATATTACAAGTATTTTCCTGCCGAAAAAGGAAATAAAAGTGGTGGGAGGTGGAGGTAAGGAAAAAAAAAGAAATAAAGATAAGAAATTAGTGGTTGATAATTTCTGGAGACAAGCAGAAACTCAGTTATCTCTTGACACAATAAAATAGCAGCTTTTCAAATGCTGGTACTTTCTCCCAGCCAGGAGAAAACAAGATATGTAAGTTTTCCGGTTTTCCTTGTAGCTGTGAGTGTTTTAGCTTAGCAAACATGTGATGTTCCTTGCTATAGATTAATGACAGAATGTGATTATTTCCAGCTGTATGTCATCATTATTTGCAGCTGTGACTACTAATATGATGATTATTAGGTAATGCTCAAAAGTGAGCTCCATGAGATTAACAAAAACTGAGATTAAGAAAAATCTCCATTTGAAATTTTGGAGTCCTCCTCCAGTAACTTAATTATTTCTGGAGATTCTTCATAAAAATATGAAAAAGCAATGATATAAAAGCAGAATAAAGAACTGCATTAGATTTTAGGCCTCCATGAGATAGTTGTTAACAACAGCTAAACACATCGGTGGTGCCTAGGTCAGGCAGAACATCCCAGCAGAAGTTTGTGTGGTTCACTGTGGGCACAGCAACCTTTGAAGCTGATCTGGTCCTCTCCTAGTTAGGGTGGCCACCAGGGCCAGGGAAGCCCTTTGGCTTCTGGGTGGGCTGAAGACACTTGGGTTGTCTGAGGAGTGAACACAGGGACATAATTAATGGCTGTAATTAAACATCCACTCCACGGGAAGATCCTATGGCAGAGTTATGCCTTTTGCTTGTAGCCTGTGTTGGGGCACACCTACAGATGGGACGTCATCAGATATTGCAAACTCCCAGGAACACACGGGGCTCTGTTGGGAACACAGGGGATGTCACCACTCCAGCGGGACAGCAGAAGGGAGAAGCTACTGAGGCCCAAATACATTTTTCCACTTCCCTCCTTTGTATATACATTGCTTTTCTGAGACTGGTGTGTGTCCTATGACTGGCCTTGTGGTTTCTATATATTGCTTTCTTCATTTCCCAGTCTTCTTTTGCAGAGTGTATTAGTTCATATTTTACATAATACCACTTTAAGAGCAGCGGGTAAGGTAGAGAAACAAAAAGGACTCTCACAATTGCCCCGACATGACAGAACATGACAGACATTCAGCATTAAAATCTGGATGTTAATTAGATTTTATTACATTGTTGTTTTCAAAGGCTTGATGTTCTGATGAAAAAGGTGCTTTTTCTGATGTGATAGTGTGGGACAGAATGGGCTCCATAAAAGAGGAACACGGAATGTGAAATGGCCTGATATAAAATATCCCCTAATTGAAGCACCTTTTCTGGAAGCAATTTAGGTATTACAAAGGAATGTTATAAGAGGGGTAATTAGAATGTGAGC